TAAACAAAACTTCCAAAGTTATATGGATGATGGAACAATTAATGAAATTCAAGTAGGTATGGGACCATGTGGAGAAACAAGGTATCCATCATATCCACTTTCAAGATGGAGTTATTGTGGAGTAGGAGAATTCCAATGTAATGATGGTAAATCAAAAGAATTACTTAAAAAAGCAGCAACAGCTAAAGGACATTCAGAATGGGGAAATGGATCACCATCAAATGCAGGAAATTATAATTCTAAACCACCATCATCAACAGGATTCTTTGGAAATGGATTTGATAATTATCAAAGTGAATATGGAAGATTCTTCCAAGAATGGTATTTTGACCTGTTATTAAGTCACACAGATAAAGTTCTTTCAGCAGCAAGAAATGTATTTGGAAATACACTTGCACTTGCAGGTAAAATATCAGGAGTTCATTGGTGGTATAATGATCAATCACATGCAGCAGAAATGACAGCTGGATATTATAACTCAAATGGAAATGATGCATACAAAACACTTTCTAATACATTCAAAAATAATAATGTTAGATTTGATTTTACATGTCTTGAAATGAGTGGAACTGATGGAAGTTGTGGATCATCACCAGCTAATTTAGTTGATCAAGCATTTAATGCAGCAGGAACAGTTGGAATTGGAAAATGTGGAGAAAATGCACTTGAATTATGTGGATATGGAGGATGTAACACTAATGGATTTAATCAAATCATCAATAAATGTAAACAACATGGATTAACAGCATTCACATATTTGAGAATGACAAGAGGACTTCTTGATGATGGAAATGCATGGGGACAATTCACTAATTTTGTTAGTAGAATGAGATAATAAAATTAATTTAATAACATGTTTACATCATTTCATATTTAACTTTCGTTAATTACAATAAATAATTTAAATGAAATACAGGATGAAAATTAAAATAATTTAATGCGTTGAAATGCACTGAAACAATGAATTAATACATTGACTGTGATTAATGAAACAATAAATGTTCTATTTGATTTATAAAACAACAAATGTTGTATATTATATCTATTTTGTTCTTTATTACTTATTCATTCCATAATCCAAACAGTTTATTTATATTTCTCTTTGAT